TGTAATTATTTATACATGCATTGCATTTTATCTATATTTTTAATTTTCTGACTGTCGGAGGTCTTTCACGGAAGCTATTCTCAACCTGGCGTTGGGAGCAGCCTACTACCCTACCTCCTCCTTACCCCATACATATGGGAATTGGGTTTTGTTGTTGTTGTTGTTGTATCTTACTCTAGTGAGTTTGGAATCACAGTGGTTGAGGCAAGATAAATTCATCTCTCAGGTAAAATGTCGTGAGCTTCTTGATCTCTTAGAACTGATGCTTGCCTGCCATTGAACTATGCTAACTGGTTGGTTTCATTTCTTTTGTTCCCGTGCCTCGTTTAGTTTGAGTATCATATATGCAACTTTATCCATGTATGTCTGACTCGAGTATATTCAATTTATTCCAACTCTATCCAGGTATGTAATTAAGAGTAACAACACTTAAATTATTTAAGACATAACCTATCTAATGAATAAACAAAGAAGAAAAGTTCTATCTAGCCTCAAGGATAGATATGGTAACTGCATTTTCTGTAAGTGTCGTCGTCATTCTTATAGCACTAAAACTGTCGTAGGGTTCCCTTTGTATGAAGAAACCAGGTTGTTTAGGCTGAGGTAAAGTTGCGTCTTCATTTGTCAGTTCGACAAGAACAGATGACATTGGTGGCCGGTCCTCCGGGCTTTCTTGAACACACAATAAACCAACATAGATAAATCGAAGCATTTCGGACCTAACACACGATTCTTCCAGGAATGTGTCCATCAGTCCGAAAGCTCGATCCTCATTCCATAGCAACCAGGCCTATGCAAAACCAGCACCAGTTACTTACTCGTGGAAGAGAAAGAAGAAAAGAGATTCCATTGTTAAGACATACGCGACCGAGACGACTGTTGCGATGATCGGGATGATTGTACCCTTGTTAGGGAAGGGCAAACAAGAGGATAGTTGGATCAGTAAGGTGACCCTACTGCAAGGCATCACCAACAAACAAAATAACAATAGCCACGTAAGAGAACACGTGTCGGAAAGCTGCCAAGGACGTTGAAGGATTTTACATGCTTTTGATTTAATTGCTCAGTATACAAGGAAAAGGATTGTTAGAGAATAGGCATTGAAAATTGTTATCCAAATACCTTCTTTTACTCCTCCTGCTTGTCTCTCTCTCTCTTTCTATATTTCTTCTACTTCATCTGATAAAAATTACAGTAAGTTCATAACAACCCTCTATTCTTTTTACCACTTACTATTTCTAGCAAAAGCACACCAAAGCTGAAAACATCAGATTTTACTGAAAATGTTCCATCAACTGCATACTCAGGAACCACGTAACCACTGCATTAAAGCATATTATATGACATGAGCCATTTTTTTCATATAAAGGAGGCCTTGGTTTACTAAGAAATAAACACAGATGTTGAGATTCGAATCTTAAATCAATCGGATGCTATTAAAGAAGTGATAGTAACTTACTATGTTCCAAGTTCCAACAACTCGATTTGTTCTTGTTTCCTCATCGTTGCCGCCAATGATTCTTGCCAGGCCAAAATCTGGAATTTTTGGGATATAGTTGCTGTCTAGTAAAATGTTGCTTGCTTCGAGATCCCTATGAATAATTTGAAGTTTAGAATCCTGGAGGAGATAGAGCAGCCCTCTTGCGATCCCTAGAACAATATTGAACCTGTTTTTCCATGATAGTTGTGCTCTTCTTTTATGATCTTCACAAATAATGCATTGTGAATCTCAATATTTTGTCTTGAATATCGATTTTATAGTACAGATGATGTATAGAAAATCAAAGCAAACAGATGGATGAAAGGGTCAAGTCTCAAACCGAATATCAAGCAATCCAAGCTTTTGTTGGGCATATACTCGTAGATTAACATCCTTCTCCTTGAATGCAGCAACCAAGCAGTCGAACAAGATTCCTATGTTAAAGTTTGGCGATCAAAACGTCGTGAACTGCTCGACAGCCTCTTCACTGCTATTTCCTGTCCCATTGAAAGATTGCCCTGCATATGTAGAACCACATTGGTATGATAATTGAACTCAAGGATTTTAAATTGCAGGCATGGACATGTTTTTGCTGCATCATGTTTATAACAGACGCGAACACAAATGAATGTTACAACAGTCAAATTGTGATGAGAACTGAAACAACAAAATAGCGGCCACATCCTCGTATTGCAATCACCTATCTTCTAGTATGCAATTAACATAACACATTCCATAGTTGCTTACCTTGTAAACAGGACCAAAGCAGCCCTCTCCAATTAAATTGCGAAAAGAGAAATTATCAGTGGCGGTTTCAATGCTAGACAAGTCGAATAAGGGCACTTCTCTTTCATCTTTCCCACCTTCCAACCTTGTTAAATGAAGTGATTCATCTATAATTCAATGAGTTTGATCTATTAAGTAATGCAAATCTGTTTGAAGAACGCCAATAAGGTTCCATTAGTGTTCTTACCTCTTTTCCTTGATTTCTTCTGGATTATGAAAAATACTAGCTAGGATCAAGATGATTGCACCAGAAATGATTGACACCAGTACGATCACGTTAATCTGTTCCTTGTACTCGAATCTCGGGTTAATCCTAGAAAATACAGTGGTTTAAAAACCAGGCATTTGTTAAAAGAGTATGAAAACGAGCAATACAAATGATGCATACCTAGATTGGAAGTTGGCAACCTTATAAAGACATCTTCTCCTCGGTACACTTCTGAAACTTCGGAGATTCAATGAGGTCACCGAACCACATCAAACAGCTTGCGCGATCCAGGGCCGTGGCAGGGTTTTCGGGGGCCCTGTATAAATTCTTAAAAAGGGGCCCCTATTTTCTAGATATATTCGATTTCGGGGCAACAATAGTGGCGTTTTCTTAACAAACTCCGCGATAGATCTATCTATAATGACGTTTTATCAATAAAGCCGCAATAATAGTGGCGTTTTTTTGAAAAAACGTCACAATATGTCCATCTATAGTGGCGTTTATTGGAAAAACGCCACTATATATATATTTTTTTGGGGGCCTGCGCGGTTGCGCAGTTTGCGCCGCCCCAGCCACGGCCCTGGCGCGATCTACACTTACATTCAGATTAGCATTGGCTGTGCAGGAGCAGTTCTTCAAGCATTCAGCTTCACATTTCTCACGGTTCGAATTCTGTCCAACTGAAATTTTATCAAATCCGGAACTTTAACCCTGACAAGCCATAGAAAGCCTTCTCCCTTTTGACAGTCCAGTGATGATTCTCTTACACAGTTCATAGACCCTTGTGATTTCGGAATGAACCCTTGGATACACTCACAGTTATGGGGTCTCCTACTGCTGCATACACTGATTCACAGAATCCATAGCTTCCACATTGATCAAATGGTACCGAGTACAAAACACCCCATTGATTACGGCCCTGCTCTAATATAAGACGCTGTAAATAACCCGACTGATTCAACCATAACTGCATGTTAATTGCGTTGCTGAAAGCTTCAAAACTATAATATATCCCATTCTCATTAGAGATGACGGTTTGAAGACTAAATTGGGGACTTCTGGAACAGCTCCGAACCCAATTCCATTCCATGGTCCTGTTCGGTACGTTTTCATTGATCCTCTATCAATGACTAACTCAGGTAACCCGGTTCTGTCAAGTCTGTATGTGAAGTTCCCGGGGGACTGATCATTGGCACTTTTCCATGATGTTCGATATCTTTCCGCATTGGTATTTAAGTTCCATCCTATTGTCATACCTGCCAAGAGTGTGTCTGAAGGGGAATCAAAACTTTGCCACAAATACCTTTTAGGCATGCTTTTGTTGTCCTTGAGAACAAGGTTTCCAGTATCTTACAGCTGTGCCATGGGATGTTCTATTGTCCCAGACACATTGGATGACCAGACGACACTCTTCGTCCGGTCCAAGAGCACAAGATTTCCATTGTTGCTTACCGCTAAGACCCCTTTCCTGTCAGCGAACAGCATCAGGTTGTTTCTGTTTGCAACCCAAACAACTGCTTCACTGCTGTTCTTGTACCATATTCCCAGGTACCTGTTCCTTGATTTCCCAGGTGAGAAGAAGCCTAGTTCAAAGGTTTCTAATGCAGAAACCAGTGTCTCACCATCACTAAACGACCCTTCTACTGCTAAAACATCGGCTTCCTCGGACGATTCCATATATGAAAAAACTACTAATAAAAAGCATATCGAAGTGAAAATAGAACACCTCTCGATGTTAAAACTCGATCTTTCTGCTAAACAAGTTCCCTCCTTGCCTGTATAGACTTCAAAGTTGACGCATAAACTTCTACTTATTTAGAGTTTCATGGTAATTCTCATATTGTTAATGCATAATAGATAAATGATGCTTGACTTCCAAATCTTCTATGAACAGGGACTTTTAGGGTTTCATACTCCATCGGGTATTTGGAAAATGAGGTTTTAACATCTTTTTTCCCTGAATAATCAGTACCACTACCACATTTATTTCTGTTGACTAATCTCGTCCCACAGCAACTTATGCAGTTATTAAATAGGGATGTCAATGTAAATCAGCATGGATTTAGTTCTTACTTGGAATAGTCTGATGAGCAAAAGAAATGTGAGAATATGACTTTAATTCCTTTGAAATTTATTTTGAAATAAGCATTTTAGTCTCAATTTCACTCCATTTCCAGTTGCACTTGCACATGTTTTCCGACAAGACCACCAGCTAATGATTTGCAAGCAGCTGCTATCAGAGGTGATTCGATCAAATTATGTTAAGTAAAAAACTTTCTAGTTAACTGAATCTTATTTCATAACTCAAATTCTATTTAAATTTTTTCAAGTCGAGTTTATGAAGTTCAAATAAAGTCAAGTTGTTCGAATTTCTGTTTAAATTTAATTGTAAAAATTTATGATATTATAATATTAATTGATCCAATGTAAACGACTTTCTATAATCATATACAATAAACATATATATTTCTTCATATTTTTTCTTATATAATAAATATATATCATGTATAATTGAAAAACTCAAACTTTTTAGTCCTGCACAATGGCATTAACGCAAAACATAACAGCTCATAAAACTGAAAGCAAATGTTGACACTGGGATTATCCTATAGAATATCATCATGGTGCAGTAAATCATGATCTCGAGTGCCATAAAAGGAAATCTAGAACCTCGATGATCATATGATAACATCACCAATAAAACGGAGACAAAGTAGAAAGAGTGAATCCTAGGATCCATGTTAACATAATCCTTCGTACGGGCTAATTGTGAGCAACTGATAGCCTTCTCTGCTATCTACAACATAAGAAAAGCAAGATGGGGATCATAACCAGGTTATGAAAGACTGGAAAATATAAATTAATGAAGACATTTACAAACCTGCTACCGATAGGATAACGCTGCCATTACTACAGACTCGCTAAGCATCTGCCATAAAAGAATCATCAAACACTAATGTTAATTTGCAAGATTTGTTAGTAAGTTCAAGAATTCAGCTACTCAAACAAATTTCATATATGAAACAAATTCATGATAAAAAACTGAAGATGCTTTGCTACTACATGTTATGAATTTCATAAAAGGCAATCTCAGGTTTATTAATTCAAAATGATTCTGCTTGGTAATGGTGCAGATGGATCTCTTTCTTTGCACGTCTTCTTATGCTTTCCACTATGCCTATTTAGCAAGCAATAGCCTAAATAAACAGGGAGAGGAAATGGGAATGATCAATTTGATGTATAAAAACAAGGATATGGTATAAAAACAAGTATGAACAGTATCAAAGGTTATGGTAACCAAATTCGTGGTGCAATGTTGAGTTCACATCTATTCGTTTTACCGGAATTAATGTTTCTTACGATTATGTTTTTTACCTAAAAGGAAACCACTATCATCTACAATGTAATTTCCATCTAGGAAAGCAGATTCATCACAAGCAGCTTTTCCAGAGTTTCTACGATGGATAACAGCTTTACAGCCTATAACCTCATCCCTCGAAGGATCATCGTTGACAAAAATGCAGCAGAAAGCAACTCCCATCCATTGAATATCATTCAGAATATTGAAAGGCAGTGGTATCTTGATTGAAAAGTCAACTCTCTCACGGCTGAACCCTTCTGGGATTTCATTTCCAGGTATGATAAAGCTAAATAATTTTCTTGAATTTTCAGATACCTGCAGAACATACTCTTGTTGTTAAGTAATAGTAACAAACAAAAATAATCAAGTATGAGATTTTGTGAGAGAAACAAAGATATTAACCAACCATGAGATATTTTCTCAGCATTGTTAATACATTGACATTCTCAGCCAATCTGTAGCAGTGAGTACCGAGAACCCAAGCAATACTCATTGAATTGCATACTTTTGAAGGAAATGCAACTAGTTCCAGAGAAGCATAATTTTCCATTTCCACCCAGGTTATATTTGTTACAAACTCAGGCAACGATTTAAGTTCCTTGCAATTTGACAATTCAAGATGCTGAAGCTTCGAAAGTCGAGTAAGGGACGGATGTATGCTGATGAAATTGTTACCACTAAGATCAAGATGGCACAAAGAGGATAGATAAGAAACATCACTAGGAATATCTAATTCACCAAGATTGCACATGCCACAATTTGATAATCTAAGATATGTAAGCTTGGAAAGTCGAGCAAGGGACGGAGGTATGCTGATGAAATTGTTACCACTAAGATCAAGTCGTTTCAAAGAGGATAGACGTGAAATATCACTAGGAATATCTTCTTCTCCAAGATTGCAGTCCCTTATTTTCAGCTCCCTTAATGAACTTAAACCAGACAATGAATGTAACATCAGAGCCTTGGAATTTGTCCACCATTGGATAAGAGAAGCGAGATTTTGTCGCAATTTAAATGACTTGCATCCACTGAAAGACAGCACTTTAAGATTCTTAAATTGAAAAATGAAGTATGGTGGTTCTCTTATGGCTGTCTCACTTAAGTCAAGCTCTTCCAAAAACTCTACTTGCTTCAAGTTCTCTGGCAAATTTTCAACTTTATAACAACCAGAAAGATTAAGAGTTTTTAAACTTGTGCACCCACATATGGTGCTAGGGAGGCTCACAAGGTTACTGCAATCTTTCAAATTTAGCAAAACAAGACTGCTCATTTTGCCAATTGAAGAGGGAAGTTTTTCAATGCTTGTCCCATCTAAATAAAGTTCCAACAAGCATTCCATTTTCACATCAATCTCCGGAAACTTTTGAAGCTTAGAGCAACCGGAAAGAATGAATGTTTCAAGAGATTCCATTCCAATATTGGTTGGAAGATTCCTAAGACTTTTGCAGCCTTCTAAATTCAGAAGTTTAAGCCTCTTAAGAAATCCGATGGATGGATGAACATCCACTATTTTTGTGCAACCTTCCAGAATCAAAGTTTCAAGACTTGGGGCCATAGTGAAGTCCGGTGTCTTGATCAGGTTCTGAGACCCTTTGAGGTTGATCACTTTCAGCTTATACAAGGGCTGTTGAAAATTGGAGAGAAAGAAACAACATAAGAAAGGTTAACTTTGTTATTAGTTTTCTATCAAAATCGAATTTTAATCATTCATCTTAAAATAAGCGAAAAGACAAGTATTCTAACTCTTGCTCCCTTCCACAGTCGTTCAATACGGCTGTAAGATAAGAGAAGTGCAACAAGGTTGTCCGGTTCGAAGCACGACGGCAAGGATCTTAGAGGACATCCTTCCCAATCTAAAAGCCGTAGCTCATTTGAAAGATAATTTAGATCATCACAATTTGTGAGGCAAAGGACTTTGAGTAATCTCAAATTTTTCATCTTCGCGAAGGCATCAACTCTCAAGTTGAGAAACTTATTAGATTCCCTAATAAACCATGGGGAAAAGAAAAAATGTAAATGAAGTAAAAACTAAAAAAATGAAAGAAAAAAATAATATAGCATGTGTGTTTTTCTACCTTTTATTGTTTATCATCATGGCTTGAACCATATTCGTACCCTGATAATAATAATAAAATAAATATTACTTATTGTCTATCATCATGGCTTCTTAATATATATATATATACAAAAATGTTTGTAACTTCAATTTTGTTGAATGACTTACTGTGTCTTTTGTTAGGACATGATGGACGTCACATTCTTCCCATAATCTACAACGTTTCCCAGGTTCTTCTATACATTTTTCCTTAACAATTTTTCTTCCCATTTCTTGCAACAAGTCATGCATCCAAAAATATTGGTTGACTTCATCGATTTTTATGAGTGATTTCTTAACGAGAACATCGATTCCAATATCCGGGAAAAACTCACAACCATCCAATACTTTCATTACAAAATCTTTCGGCTCCTCGTTGAAGAAGCATGCTATATCCAGAAATATATTCTTCTCCCTCTCTTCCAATCCATCATAACTGATTCTAAGTCTGTCGATAATTTCTTTGTTAGAATCTCGTTTGAGTCTTTCAATTGCACTTGTTGACGAAAACGGGTAAAGAAAACAAAAGAACACGAAAATTTTACGAGGTTCGGCAATGTGCTTACGTCCTCGGTGCCTAGGCGGCGCTAGAAGTTTTTATTCAATGATATTTTAGGTCTAGGTTACATCTCTATTTATAATAGAAAACCCTGGTACATAATTACAAAATTAACCCTGTACCGTACCGCGGGGCTGTGCCCCCGTACCCTCAACCCACATAATTCGTAACCCCACAACGAGACTTTCTTTGTAAGGACAGTTGATGTTCGCTTCGCTCACTCCGCTCCATCTCCTGTCCTCTTTACTGGTATATTTATGAGCCATACCTAACAGCACTTTTCCATTGAGTTGCATCTCTACCACACAGAAAGGAACCCAAAACTTCAAGAGCTAAGGGAAGACCACCGGCATATTTCACAATAGTTTTTGAAAGCTGAATGAAATCAACTTCAGGCGCTGTATCACTACCGAAAGCCTTCAAATTGAAAAGACGAAATGCATCGTTTTCATCCAATATCGTGGGCGTATACACATCGTCAACTCGATAAGATCGGAACAGATGTTCATCTCTAGTTGTCACAATGATTCTGCTCCCTAATCCAAACCAATCACGCCTTCCAACCAAGCATTTCAACTGTTGTATGTTATCAACATCATCAAGAACAACAAGAACCTTTTTGCGAGACATCCTGTGGCCAATGATGGAATTCCCTTCGTGAACATTGAAGAAATTGAAACCTTCATCAGAGAATATCTGGGCAAGAAGTTGTCTCTGTAAAGAAACAAGTCCGCATTTATCTGAAACTTCTCGAACATCAGCAATAAAGCTTCTGCCTTCAAAATGGGGTGACATTTGAGTGTAAACAACTTTGGCGAGAGTCGTTTTACCGATGCCACCCATTGCACAAATTCCTATAATGCGGACATCATCCTCCCCAATCTCTATTTTCGAATACAACTCTTCCAAGCGTGAATTGATTCCTACCAACTCATCAATAACAACAGGATATGTCTGACACAACTTTGCTGATATCTTTTTAACAATGTCTCCAATAAATTCTGATTCATGCCTAAACAGAAAATAAATTGTAGTTCATTAGTCCTTAAAACTAGAAAGTAGAGAAGAAAAGAATGAAATACCTGTCGTTTAAATGCCATCCCTTGGTGTTAGCCACTAGAGTCAAAGCATTTCGCCACCTTTGAATCTTGTCTTTATCTTCCTTGTATCTCTTTTCGTGTTGGACAAAGGCTTTTTCAACTTTCCCTTTTTGTTTTCTTAAATCAGATGGATCGACGTTGTAGAAAATTGGAAATACTTTATGGCCCTCTTGGTTTTTTTGTTTAACAATCTCAGCAAGCTCCTCCAAGCACCAACCTGAAAACGCATAGGTTTCAGAGAAAACGATTACCGAGCACCATGATTGTTGAATGGCTTTAAAGAGCTCTGGTGCGATCTCTTCACTGGCCTCCAGCTTCGGCTCATCCCTGAAAGTGTCGATTCCACTCCGTTTTAGAGCATCATAAAGATGATCTGTAAAGTTCTTGCGGGTATCTTCACCTCTGAAACTCAAGAAAACATCATATTTCTTTCTAGAAATAGAAGACGAAGATGAAGGTAACGACAACATGAGGAAGTATGAGAAGAACAAGAAATGTCAACCAGGTGTTAAAATTAGAGAATAGATCGCCCAATACTCTTGGAGAAACTAGAAAGAATCGAAGTATATGAGCATCGAAAAAAAGCAGCTCAAATTAGCCAGGAAACGAAACAGAGTTTTCTAAGCAATATATGAAAAGCGCGTGATGGTGGGAGTTATGGGGTTCTTTTTTCCAGGAAGAATCAGAGAAGGTGAGAGCAGAAATGGTTGCTTTGCCGACTAAGTGGACTCTAAGTCAATTGTAAAATTATAATAAGGGTAAAGTATATAAATAATCCCTAAATTTTTACGGATATTTCAGTTTGGTCACTTAACTTTTGAAACTTACAATAAGTCATTAAACTTTTAGTTCGTTTTCAGTGAGATCTCTGTCGTTACCTATATTTTATAATAAGGTCTTTAAACTTAGGAATCCCCCTAAAGATTAGTTAACTTATATGGAAAATGTTAACCTTTCACTAGTGAGGTTGGTTAAAGTGACATCAAACAAATATAATTGGATTTAGGTTAAAAAATTGTTAAAGAATATATTTTTCAAAAAAAAAAAAACATTGAAAGTTTATTTCTTATATGGGTGCCGTACTTTTAAGAAAAATGGAGTTCAAGTAACATATGTCGAAAATTGTTTTGATAATATGATTGCATATACTATTTTCTTCATTTTCTCTCTTATGACTAACCATTGTTCATATATTCTGACCATCGATGTCATGATTTTCACATGGTATCATAACTTCTCCGACATGTAGTCAGTGATCTTGACGGTCATAGTTAATTCTGTCACTAGCAAGATTATCAACAATGATCGATCATGGTATTTCCCAAAAAAAAAATTACACTTTCGACAATTTCTTCATCTATTGTCATAATTTGTGTGCGTATCTTGCTCATTGCCTCCTTTGTTGCTGTCAATACCAGCTTCGCTTGACGTTGTTTCCTTTGTTGCTTCATTTTTTTATCATTGATTAAGTGTTGTTACAATGACTTTTGATCTGACCGTCATTGACATTCGTTGTTGTCTAATTATTCTGATTCTTCAGTTCTATTAACTGATAGTGAGTGTCAAATGACATTGATGGTCCTTCTAACCACTATATTTTATGTGTTATTTTATTTAATCTTTCATAAAGCAATAACTCTGTATTGATGATTCTAATCGGATAAGTGGTAAGTTTTTTTATCACAACATTGATCTTGATTGGAAGTGGTTTCAGATTTGAGCTTCACTAGAGATCCCGACAACAATAATATATGGTAATTAATACTCATGTATGTTATATCTCTGGTATTGATTACTGTTCTCATCTCTAATATAAGCTACCATGGAATGATAATCACTGGTAACTTAGTCGAATCCAATGAAATTTAAAATTATTACCGTCCGATTGTAGCTGGTAATTCAAGGCATCTGATGTCACATTCAATCAATAGAATTGATGTATTAGAACAATCGGACTATAGCGATGATAGCTGTGGTGAAATCAAAACTCAAAGAAAGAAACAACGTCAGGGAAAACTGATATTGGCAATGACAAAGGCTACAATGAGCAAGATAGACGCACAAATAATGTTATTGGATGAAGATAATGGCGAAAGTGGTAAATTTTCTGGGAAAAACCATAATCGGTCATTATTGATGGTCCAACGAAGCTTAAATTCATCTGATGAATACAAACTACAACTCATGTTGAAAGCAACAGAGAAAGCAAATCTTGCGAGTGAGAGAATCAACCGCAGCCGTCAGTATTTTCTGATACATGTGAAACAACACGCTAAATGATCTATTTTTATCATATCTTAGTCAACAAGTTAACATTTAGCTTAAACTATCATCAATTTTTTAACAAAAAATGAAGAATTTAGAACATATGAATAGTTGGTGACTCAACAAAGCAACATATTAAAACCAGAGACTATTTTATAACTTATTATAATCGAGGAACTCAACAAAATAATATCATATAATAAAGAGACCATTTGTATACTTTCTCCTATAATAAAATATGTTTTAAGGTTCATTAACTATTAATGGGATATGATTATATAACTATATTATAGATTAGGATAGATTACAAATTTAGTCATTAAATTTTATATTTGTATTAATATTATTATTAAATTTTAAAAAAATAATTTTGTCATTAAAATTTTATATCACTTACTGTTAAAATCATTAAATTCATAGAATGAAATTTGTTATTTGTACTTTTTATGTTTAAGAACCTCTTAGTTAGTATTAGCGGATCCGCATATTCTCTAGGGTGGATCTTTGTTTACCTTAAAATTTGAATTTTCTTTTATTAGTTACTTATTTTATTGATGGTGTTCATCCTAAAATTTTATTTGTGCCCACATTATTAAAAAGTTGGGTAAAGTACACAAACAGTCCCCCGACCATAGGGTATTTTTTTAAGTCTCTCGACTATTAAAAGTTACAAAATGGTCCCCTGACTATAGGGTGTTGCTTTGTTAAGTCCCCGACTATTAAAAATTACAAATTAGTCACCCAACTATTTAGCATGTTCCAAACTCGTCCTTTTCCATTTAATTTTTAACAACAACCTGAGTTAGATGTTAACTTGTTGACTGAGATGTGATATTTTTTTAGATTCTCATATCAAATTTTATCATATCTCAGTCAGCAGGTTAACATTCAGCTCAGACTACCGTCAATTTTTAATGGAAAATGACGAGTTTAAAATATACTAAATAATCAGGTGACCATTTTGTAACTTGTGATAATCGAGGAACTCAACAAAATAATATACTATAGTTAAGGAATATTTTATAACTTTTAATAGTTAAAAGATTTAACAAAACATCAGTCTATAGTTAGGGAACTATTTGTATATTGTACCCTAAAATATTTTGTATTATTAACCTATGTATGGATCCGTCACTTTCGCCGTAAAAAATCCCACCCAGTATCACGTGAATGCCCTTAAAAGCAATGTTAATGTGTGCGTTGAAGAGTGGGATCAGTATTCATGTATTTGGGGATCGGACAAGGGCACTTTAAGAAGAAGAAAAATGACAAGTCGGAACAGTATAGGGCAAAGTAACACGAGCATCACATAGAAAGATGTAGCATGTACAGAAAAGCCCTAGGGAATGCAAAGGAACTCCGGGACCAGATGTTGTGTGGGAAGAACTCAGTTAAACTGTTATTGGAAATCATGGATTTATACGGGTCTTTGCAGTAAAGGTTCCTGAAACAAAACATCCATGGTATAGTTACATAATAAATGGAGGAAGTGGGTGGTTGAACTGGTTTACGGATCTTATCGATACACACGATACATAACCAACAGTGTGATCAAGATATGTGAAGGTTTCTGCATTAGAACAACAACAACAACAACAAATCCATATTCCCATATGCAAGGGGTAAGGGGAGGTAGGGTAGTAGGCTGCCCCCAACGCCAGGTTGATAGCAGCTTCCGTGGAAGACCTCTGGCAGTCAGAAAATTAAAAAATAACGATAAAATACAATGCATGTATAAATAAATAAATAAATACATAGTTGAATAGTCTTCATATGCAGTGTTCATATGCGCGTCTGTAATGGGAAGTAATCCCTACAAATAAATCACTGCGTAAAAATCTTTGCATATAGACAAAAACATAAATCTGGGCTAAATTTAAAAGAGGAAACATGAAGAGAATGATACACAGTAGTTAGCGATAGCAAGCTACGAGAAGGAATAAAGTCAAATGGGTTAAAACCTAAACTAAGGGAACACTACTCCGCTATCCTAGTTCTAAGCCTTCATAAATTCCAATGACAGACACGTATAAAAAGTAGAAGTCATGGAAATTACTACAAAGGCATTACAAAGAAGACATAGATGCTGCACCCTATGGTTTTGACCCACACTACTCGGCTACCCTGGTCTTAAACCTCTATACTTTCCTGTCAGAGGTCATGTGGCAAAATCTTTCAAATCATATCTCAAGTAGTCTACCCACTTCTCCTTCGTCGTCCTCTCCTTCTAGCACCGTCAGCTGTAATCGACTCTACCCTCCTGACCGCATCCGATGGTTGTCGCCTAAGGACATGCCCAAACCAACGTAGTCTTCCCTCATTCAACTTTTCGAATACAGACACCACACCCAAGGACATCCTAATTACAGAGTTTGGTGTCATGTCTCACAGAGTCCTACCATATGCCCATCGAAGCATTCTCATTTCTGCGGCCTCCATCCTCCTTACGTGATCCTTCTTGATTGCCCAACATTCTGATCCATACAGCAGCGCTGGTCTTATTGTCATTCTATAAAATTTTCCCTTAAGTTTTAGAGGCACCTTCTTGTCACACAAAAATCCAGTAGCAGCCCTCCACTTTAGCCATCCCGCCTTTATGCGGTGTGTAATGTCATCATCTACACTCCCATCTTTATGTATCATAGATCCTAGGTACTTGAAACAATCCTTTAAGGGGAGAACGTGTCCTTCGATGCAAACTTCTACATCTTCATCGTTTTGGTTCCCACTAAAGTTTGAACATAAATACTATGTCTTTTCAATATTGATCCTTAGACCTTTTTCTTTCAAAGCAGTCTTCTAGGTAGCCAATCTACTATTCAGATCATTTTTTGTTTTAGCAACTAGGATAATGTTGTCAACGAAAAACATATACCATGGAACACCGTCTGGTGTCACACAATAGATGTCGTCCATAATCAAGGCGAAGATGTAAAGGCTAAGAGTCGACCCCTGGTGGAGCCGATTTCCACCGGGAATGCCTCGGTGTCGCCAATTGTAGTCCTGACGTATGTAGTAGATCTACAGTACATATCACGAATCTCCCGTATATAAGCAATTGGGATCCGTCTCATTTCCAAGGTCTTCCAGATCGTATCGCGGGGAATGCTGTCATACGCCTTCTCAAGGTCAATGAACGCCATGTGAAGATCTCTATTTTTTCTCTATATTTCTCCATAAGCCGTCAAAGTAGATGAATCGCCTCCTTAGTAGACCTGCCTGGCATAAAGCCAAATTGGTTTTTTGAAACCCTAGTAACTTGTCTCAACCTAGCCTCTATCACCCTTTCCCATAGCTTCATGGTATGGCTGAGTAGTTTAATACCTCTGTAGTTACCACAACGTTGGGGATCTCCTTTATTCTTATAGATTGGTATCAGCGTAGACTATTTC